AATAAAATGGGAGGAGATTTGAAGAAAATTGAGGTAGTAGGCCGTTATTTAATTGAAATTTGGAAAGCTGTTGGAATGGATGTAGAAGGAGGAAAGGTAGAGTTTTTATGGTCATCAAAGGAGATTAATGCAAGAGCTCATGAATACTGGCCTCTTGTATTGGATATTGCTCAGAAGAACAACCTTAAAAGGATAATCAGGTAGATGTTTGTTTGGTGCATTCAGATGCTTAAGTAAATAGCCTGTTTGGTGTCCGACTTCTAATATTGTTCTTTATTTCTGTCTTCCACACAGGTGTAGTCAAATCATGGGTCGAAGTGAACAAGATGAATTAACCGCTGCCCAGATCTTTTATCCATGCATGCAGTGTGCTGACATATTTTTTCTCAAGGTGCACTTTTCACTTTTTGTTGCTTCTTGTATTTTCTCTTCTGAAACTACATTTCCCATTTTGCTTGAAACATGTTAGTGATATCTCATAAATTTCTTCTCTTAAAATAGGCCGACATTTGCCAATTGGGAATGGATCAGCGTAAAGTGAATGTACTTGCTAGAGAGTATTGTGATGACATCAAGAGGAAGAACAAGCCCATCATCTTGTCACATCGTATCATCCTTTTTCCCTTCTTGATCTGTTTTGTATTTTGGTTAGATATATCTCTTAATAATTGCGTCAGTCTTGATTTGCAGATATGTTACCTGGCTTACAGCAAGGGCAAGAGAAAATGTCAAAAAGTGATCCATCATCATCCATATTCATGGAAGATGAGGAGGTGAGTGGGTTGAGGGTATTAAATTTGTCATATAGAAAATGTGAAGATGAATTGTCTTGTACTTGTTTTCTGTAATAAAATAAGCGGTTTTAATTGAATTGTTCATTTATCACTTGCATTCTGACATTTCAACTTCTTGTTTGGATCACATAGGCGGAGGTGAACCTTAAGATAAAGAAGGCTTATTGTCCGCCAAAGATTGTGGAAGGAAATCCTTGCTTGGAGTACATTAAGTATCTTATTATACCATGGTTTAACAAGTTCTCAGTGGAGCGCAGTGCAGAGAATGGTGGCAACAAGTAAGTTTTGCTGCCTTTTGTTGAAATAGTTGGTGGTTCCATTTGTGAATGAGTGGGCTTCTATCATTTCTCCTAATGTAAACTTCCCCTATTGATAATTGCCACTTGAACTATTTTGGTTTCCACGAGTGCGTTTCGTCACTGCCTTTATTTTGAATGGTTGTCAGGATTTATCATCTGTATTATTGTTTTTAATCTAGGACATTTAAGAGCTTTGAGGAGCTCATTGCTGACTATGAAAGTGGGGAGCTACATCCAGCTGATCTTAAACCGGCTTTAGCAAAGTCGTTGAATAAAATTCTGGAGGTAATTTTTATATCCGAGTTTGTGCATATTATATTCCCCCCTCCAAGTTTTGAAAACAGTTTCAAAATTTTCAACTAGTTTGCATGAGTAGTATTTGTTTTCTATCAGAGTTATTCTGAAAGATTTTGCTACATATTTTGCAACCATTTATTAATGCCATGTTCTTGTACGGGGATATATATATATATATAGAGAGAGAGAGAGAGAGAGAGAGGGCCCTGTATGGTCTGCTAACCTGGGCAAATAGTATTAACTTTTGATGGGGGCTTTGGCATGCAAAAAAACTTTTGCAAGAAGAAACTTCCTGTTTAGAGAATGAGTTCAGGGATGGAGAGAGCGAGAGCGAGAGAGAGAGAGAGAGAGAGAGAGAGAAAGAGAGGGGAGTTAGTAGTAGCTGCAGCATCAGCAGAGAACTTGGGCTGTTAAGAAGGAAAGCCTTTTTTCTTTCTTTCTTTCTTTCTTTTCTTAAAATGAAAAAAAAAGAGTCTATTTTTTCTGTAAACCTTGGACATTTAATCTGTGTCTGTATTAACTTTGATTTTATGACTTAGACAAGGGGCTTAGACTTGTAAAATAATTCAGCAAGAAGACATTTCCTGTTTGAGAATGTGTGCTAGCTAAATTCTTCTTTGTTTATGCGTGCAGCCTGTCAGGGAACACTTCAAAAAGGACAGCAATGCTAAAGATCTGCTAAAAAGGGTCAAGGTGAGTGAGAGAACCACTCAAATTTGGAATTTCAATTTCAATTAAGATAAATCTGCCAGAGTATATTCTAGCCTTGTTCAATTCGGAGACTATGTGCACTGCACATGACATGTAACCTGTACACTTATCTAGACTGTCCAGTCTATTGATTTGGCTAGAAAGTAGAAACCTATGTTGCACAAAAATTGGTAATGCGTATCATATACAAATTTTTTTACAACTTTAGGATATGGATACTGTGAAGAAAGTTGAGTTTTAACCGAGTCTCTCAAACGTAATATAAAGATTTTTGTGTTAAGTTTTCAATGAAAGAATAAGTTAAATTTATAATTTTCAATTTAAATTAAATGTCAATCTTCGTCTTTATTCATGCCATTAATGTTATTTATGAACTCTTCATTTTGGTGTATTTCAAACAAAAAAGTCAATGATATAAATGTTAGAATATGTTTACATATATTGTGAAGTACAGTATATATATGCACGAATACAATGCAGGTATGGCTATTCTTTTTTTTTTTTTTTTAAATATAGGTGTGACGTAGCTCCAAAGTTTAGAAATGTGTTGAACAATGTTTTAGATGCTGCCTATGATTTAACTTGTTTTGAGATTTCCCCACTGCTTGGGGCCTTGTTCATGCATTAATTTTGCACTGCGTTTTTAACGGAATTGGTCTTTGGTGTGCAGGCTTACAGAGTCACCAAATGATACCATACGCTGATTTGGAACTCCCATCTTCATTATATTTATTTACTCAACAGCCATCGAATTTTGCATAACCATATTTTCCTTGTTAATTGTAAACAACAGTGGCATCTCTGTAGATAATTATGATAAATTATTGATTCAAGATTCATTTTGAATGAATATGATGGCACGACATTTTTGGGATTTCTTGAGCCTGCTGGCATAATGGGTTTCATTATAAGCAGCATGTTTCATTGCGTGTTTTTTTTTTATTGGGTATGGGGTCAAATATCAAGTTTTCTAGGAGCTATTAATAATGCATCGGGCAGGCTCCCTGTTCCTGGCTTTATTGGAAGTTAGATTTTCGGAACCCTTTTGCTTGGAATGATTTCTTTCATGTTTTTTCTGGAGGAGTTTTGTGTGTGTTTGATTTTCAGTTTGTTAAAAATTCATTTGGTGAAAGGTTGTTTAGTAAAAGTTAGAGGTAATGAAATTTGTGTTTGAATATATTTTTTCAAACGTCAATTTAGTAAACAGAAAAAAGTTTGAATTAATGATGATTTGTGCTTGTAAAATGTATTTTGAAATGTATAATAAACAAAAAGAATATTAATTTACGATAATTTATAATTCTTGTTATACAAATATAATATATTAAAATGTGAAAAAAATTAAAATAATATAAAATTTAATATGTTAAATAAGAATAAAAAATGTAAAGCTTAATATTGAAAAAAATTATATAATAAATGGTTAATAATCATTAATATTGAATGGCATACCTTATAAATAGAATTAAAACATTATTTTTTTCTTTCATATACAGAAGGTTTACAAAATTATCTTTTTATATAATTTATTTGGCCTTATAACTATTGTATTAAATTTAAATTCTAATAAAATAGAGCATGTAATAAGTACTGCAAGGAAATAACACAATATAATAACTTCAAAAACTAAACACTAGAAATTAGTTTGAAAAGCTCCAAAATTATAAGTTCTTAAATTCACTTCTAACGGTTCTCTCAATGTACATTTAAAAAATTATTTTGCCTCATTATAAAATTCTCAAACAACATCCTACATTTTAAAAGTGTAAAAATACATCTCAAAAGTCAAAAGTCATATCCAAACGGGCCCTTTGTGCTCTGAAGAAGCATGCTATAATGTATATATTATAAGCTCCAATCGTGGGCATCAAGTCAACAGGGAGATGAACTCTGCTACTGTTTTTGCCCTACCGATTGTTACAATTGCATTTACATCCATCTTCATATACCTCCAATACAAAGTTTGTGACAAAATACTAATTAATGTGCTGTGCGCATTTAGATTAATTGATCATTCTATATTAATAAGTTGAAATTATAATAAAACTAATAGATATTAATATATTGACATAACTAGGATGGTAGAGTTGATGAAAATCAAACTACCAATAATTTGGTTGCGAAGATTTTATAATACCCAGTGCTTTATTCTGAAAGTCAGAGATGCCACCAATAAAAAAAAAAAAGGATAATGCGTAAGAGAAACTTATCTTAATATATTTACTGCATATGCGTTCAAACAATTGTCATGACAATCTTGAAAAAAGGTCCACAACTTGGGAAGAAAACCCACATTTTTTTTTTTATAGATTTCATTCATGAGTTTTCAAACAATTGGTATATACCTTTCTTCCTATTCTAAACACAGGAGTATGTTGAGTACTCTAGTTTAACCCTCAATGCAAACATCTCATCTACTTCTGTCTACCATATCAATTATTTTTCTAAAAATACCTCATAAACACTTCTTCAGAGCTATAAGCTTCGCAACCTATTTTAAATTTCGTGCACAACATGAAACTCACGGTCCCAGTACATCAAATTATTTCATCAAAGGTAGTTGGACCTTTGAACCTTCCTTTTAAAGTCAGTTTTATCACCGGTCAAAAACCGTCCCAATGCTTAAAATCACTAACATTAATAAGAAGCAACAAATTACGTAAGTTGACCCTCAATAGATGAACCAGTCATAATTCTGAAATTACACACAGGTTGCTAAAATTTAATTTGATCATCAAACCATCGAGTCCAAAGAACCAGCCTCATTAATCCAACTACTCAAGGTAAATTGTACTCTTAAAAAGTAAATATTTTACAAGTCTCCAACAAAAATTTTATACTCGAGCTATCAGCGTCACCATACCTGAACTCGACGCTATGATGTTTATAAAAAAACAACTAACCATAACGATGATATACTCAAATTAATAGAACAGAGTTGCCATTATTTTTATACAGAAATCATTATAAATTAATATGGAGAGATATCTAACACTCAAATTTTGGTGTACTAAAAATATGACCATGTCAGCCAGAAGAAATCATAGCTGTGAATTTGTTACTCCGGTGTGTCCAACATAATGGTACAAGGGTTAACAGATTAAGTAGCAGGAGGCAGAATGACTAACATGCGAAGCAAAGACCATGCTAGGGCAACTCTATTCTCAGTCCATAATCAATTTCATCTTCCATGTCAACACATCATAGTATAATGAAGGGGAGGGAAGGGAAGAAAAAGGTTTGCACGTCAGTGTACGCCAAATATCTCTTCAGGTGGATCATAGATGTGCTGATCAGGAAAGATCTCTTCAAAATCTTGTTTCACTTTGTTTCTCAAAAGAGGATATGGCAGGAGTCCTTTCAACAAAATTCTGAATGGTAACTCCTCCGGCGGATCTGGAGAATTCTTCATGTACTCATATATGTTCATTGCATCTGCAGGAGATCCATACTTTAAAAAACCCCTAATAACTTCAGTATATGTCTGAGAATCAGGGAACAGGTTCTCCTTCTTCATGCTTTCCCACAAGTGCATCACTTCATCCATCTTCTTTGACCTCGCCAATGCAATAATCAAGTCCTTGTACAAAAATACATCAGGCTTGTACCAATCTTGCTTTTGTATCACCTTAAACATCTGAACGTTCATTAAGGTATTTGTAAGCTCAGGTATATAAGAATAGGTAAGCATTAAATATCACCATCAAACAAAGAATGATCTCCAGTTTTATACAGATTCAACCAAACATTCATTAGAAGGTCGTAATGCACTAATATAGGAAATTGCTTCTGGCAAGTGATTGCAAACATTAAAAAAAAAGAAAAAAATTATCTTGAGCTAATATAAGATATTTTCAACCAAACCAACACATTTCGTTGCAGTTGGTTGTTTGCTGTCAAAGGCAACATGCAAGCAAGGGAATATCCATGTCTAATCAGGTAGCTAAGAAAAGATAAAGAGGATGAATATAAAAAGCAATCATAGCTAAGTTATTTTCTTAGACCAAATTATTCTCACCTCCATTGAAGTTGAGTGAAATGCTTCATTCTTACCCTATCGTTGAACTACCCTCCAATTGAACCAGCATTAGTTAACATTGGGTAGGTTTATTTTATTTTTTATATAGTGTATGTAATATTCTAAATATTGAATTTTTTTTATTTTTAGCAAATTCGAAATGAGAAACCATGATTATCATGTTTTAAGCCGATCATGGATCTATCTTTACACATTTTACCAACAAACAAGTTAAAGATCAAATCATTTTTGCTCTTGCATGATCAAAGTTATGTAACATGTCAACAGTTGAGATACAATTTCACCATCGTAATGTAAATTTACTCCCTGATGCAGCATTACTAAAACAGAACCCAATGACAAAAAGGGACCAGACAAGGAAAGCAGATAAGAATCCACTAAAATTCTAAAAGTAATGAAGTTTATTAACTAGAAAGGAAACGGTGAAGCCCCATAATAACCAGAATGAAAGCAAACCATGAGAGCCAAAGAAACTTCTTCCTGGCGCTCCAGCTCAGTGAGAACGGCAATCATGTCCATCTTCAAAAGCCTCAACACATGAGACTTTATGAACTTTTGAAGCTTCTCCTCATCATTCTTAAACCTCTTCAAACCCAATACTACAAAAAGTGCTTCTTTGCCTATCAGCTTCTTTCCTCTCCAAAGGGGCCCTCTCGGCCTTCCATCGTGATATTGCTTCAAAATCCCCATTGTTTTACCTAGACTGCATTCTATTTCTGGAATCATCAATCTACTGGGCAAAAAGGACTCTTTCTTCGGAGTTCTCATGATGTCACGAACAAAAATCGCAGACAAATAAGGGATTTTCCATCTTGAAATGGCACGACTTGCCATCAGAGTTCACTGATGTTGCGTCAAGTGACCCTAACAACTGATCAGATGCCTCCTTCGACAAAAATGAGGAAAAAGGACGAGCAAACACGTGATTCTAATTTGCAACTCAATATCCTGTAATTTACAAACAAGAAGTCAATTTTGTTTTTTTTTATTTATAATTACTTAACAACCATTTTGGGTGAAGCAATCAAAATACTAATGACAACATAATCGGCACGAACATGTCTATAGAAGGGAACACTAATGACAACATAATCTCACTCAAGCATAGAACTTCTACAGTTCTACCAGTACACTAAAAGTAGCAGAAGAATTGATGAAAGACATGTCATAGAAGGACAAAACCGGTGCAGGTAACATGACCATAACAGATTAAACTCATAGTCTAACAGAAAAGTAAGACAAATTTAAGCTTAAGGGAAGGCCGAGAGCAAGAGAACTACAGATTTTAATCATCTTGTTTCAACTGACAAGGATGAAATCAACAGCAAAGATGAATGAGAAACAAAGACATCCACCATGCTTTTCTCTCAAACAGTCGCCGGATGAAGTTCAAAGGAGAGAATAGAAGGGGTTGTGATTGAACATGAATAATAAGGTCTAGAAATGTAATGTTACCTGAAGAGACAAAAGAAGCGGTGAGAAACCGAGATGCAAATGGAAGCTGCGAAACACGAGCGCGATCAATTGGAGAACTTAGGCACACACGGAACTCAGATGCAAAGGGGACAGGAGACGGCGGGTGACAACGCCGTGACCCAAGTGAAAGAAGTTTGGGCTTTCAGGGTCTAAGGACAAGAAGCATCAATTTCTTTTCTTTTCTTTTCTTTTCTTTTTTTTGGGGGCAAAATGATTACCGGATGATAATCGCCTAGTTCGAGAGATCCAAAAGTCTAGCAGGAAGTCCATTTCTTTTTTCTTTTTAATAAAATAAAACTTAAATTTAAAAATAGATTTTTTTTAATTTATCTATTTTGAAAAAGGTGAGTATGGTTATGTGAATAGAACTGAAATTTTATTTTTTTATTATATTAAAAATAATAATATAAACATAATGTATATATTATTTATTTACCAATTCTAAAAGAATTATATTATATTTAAAAATTTTGAATAAACTAATTTTTTTTGTTGGAAAAAAAGGATGAAATGTATTCAAATCAAAGAAACTTTACACCAAATGAAGGCAACCAAAAAGAAAGAAAATAGAGCACAAAGTACTAACATAGCAAGACAACATACAATTACTGAATAAACTATCTTTAAAGTAAGAACAGCCTTAGCATAACTATGAAGTTGTCCCTTGTGACTTTCATAGCTGTCTGTTTAAATGTTTTTCATTAAAACAATCACTTTTTTAAAATCACTTAAACTTTTAAAAATATTTAAATCTTAAATTTCTAATTATCTGACTTTATTGCATTAGATTTTGAATCCCATTGTTTATATAAGAAGACCTTATTAGTAGGTAATTTGAAATTCTTGTATGAGTGATACTTAACTTGTAAGGGTTTGGTCTTTAAAGGAGAGTATAGCTAAACTGAATAATACCTTCATTATTGGCACTAGGGCTTGAACAAGATGTAGAACGTATATACAATTTGGCTCAACTAATATATATATATGTGTGTGTGTGTGTGTGTGTGTCCTGACATAAATGAGAATCAAGAAAATAAAGGCCTAAAATAAAGCTCAAGCTTGCTAAGATACAAAATAGACTAGGCCAAATATTAACTTTCTACACTCCTCCTCAAGTTACAACTGAACAAATTTAAGGTTCCTAACTTGACTAATAACTTCTCATGGCTCCCTTTACCCAATGCTTTGGTAAGAATGTCCACTTGCTGATCTGCTAAAGAAATAAGCTTGTGTGTAATATGTAAAGGGCGTCCTAAATTAGGACTTAATCATCACACTAATCATGATTAATCAAAAACTAACCCAAATGGATTATTCATTATGAGATTAACCTAAATAAATTCTTAATATGTATTTTTTTTTTACAAACTATTTAATACAAAAGGATCCCAAGTCTTTAAAAATATTTTAAAAACTCATATCATTTAATTAAACATATACGGAAGCATGATAATAACTATTTTTACTTGCACAAATATTTTGGCCCATTACTATAATACAAACATCAAAACACATTTTCAAGAGCCCAAAATGTCTTTCTATCCAACACAAAACCCATAGTGTAAGTGGATTAAGAATATATTATCCTAATTGGCAATATCATAAACTAAATACACATATCAACATAAAAGGAGAGAGGCCTACAGAAGTGATTATTATCACTTGGCCTAATGCTCCTTTCCTCTGTTCTTATCAGATGAGCTAGCTCTTGTAATATGTTAAAAGAGAGTACAACTACTCAGTAACCAAGGTACATCTAAGTTATACAAATGCATGATAATTAATCATGATTGCAAGTGGCCAATAAATTAATTAAAGTGACCATTCAAACAATCACATTAATAACATGTTGATCACATTAACATTTAACTCATGTGAATAATTTCAAGAATAAAGTCAAGTATAAAATTTGCAAAAATAACTACATATACATTATTCGCATAATTACTACATGTTCTCATTTCTACAATTACAATCATATTCTCAACATAGCCATCAATCACTCAAATGGCATGATAATAATAATATGCATGATCGATCTCTTCCTTATATCCCCCCTTATTTTCTCTGACATGAAATCTGTGGGCTAACAACCGAAAGGGATCGTCCATGTGGTGAGACTACCCCAAGGCCTTAATCATATCATGAGGGGCTACCGGGTCAGGGTTACCTTACTTATTTATGAACACGGTTTCTTCCAAATCACACACTATGGGGTGTCATACCCAAAACTAGCTCTACCCAAAACTCTAGGTAGGCCAGTAGGGTCAAGTCCCTTAATAGGAACAATGCTACAGTACCTTACAAGGTAAGTAGCGACTATAACCCCTAGGATTATTGGTTAATAGCCAAGTACCATATGGATTTTGTGTAATCGCTAACTCCTTCACTAAGGCAAACTCCCGCCATATGATCATGCTCATGAGAAAATGCATTTCAAAAATTCATATATATATATTTCAAAAATTATCCCACATGCTCATCAACTTTCATTACTGTACATAATCCACAACTTATAACCAAGAGTGTATATATAATCTTCAACCATCAATCTCATTACTCACAAGTCATAAAGTCTCAATAGAGTCACATGCATTACAAACAACTATTTCAAATTTAGATATATATATATATATATATTCTTTTATTTCACCAACATAATTAATTAAGTAACATACAAATGCATAAAATAAATTTCCCCTGGTTACCTCAACCTTTGAGAGGTCAAAGGTTACCCCTCAAGTTACAACACTTCCAAAGCTTTCCAAAGCTTAAATGGTGTCAAAAGAAAATTAATCTACAATTGATCATATCACAATGTGTCAATAATATTATTAACACAATTTTCACTCATACTCTAATACTTAAGTATTTATTTTATTTTATTTCATTTTTTTAAGACCTTAGTCTTAGCCTCTTAAGTTTTAAAATTTAATTTTTGATATTTGAACCTATCTACTAGATTCAATAGTCTCCTTTACAATAATTTCATTCAAATAATTTTCTAATATCAAAATTTTCCTTTTTATTCCAAAATTCGCATATAAAAATATCCAAAAATTGCAAAATTGATTTCAAGCCTAGAATCATTATTTTATAGCCATAATAATTTATTTCTCATCTTAAATAATCATCTAAATATCAACAAATCAATTTATATTTTTAGATTTAACAAAAAAATCTATCCATAGGGATCTAGGGATAAACTCAAATGCTTCAAATTCCAATTCTATCAACAAAATAATACTCTAGAATATTTATTACACTACTAACAACCTCAAAAACCATATTTATTCAACATAAATTCATCCCTCTTCCAAATCCTAAATTTTCTACCACCACAAAATCAGAACCAAAGAGAAAGGATGATTAAGAAAAATTTTAGAATACTTACTTAGTCTTAGAATACTTAAAATCTCTAAAATATCCTAATATGGAGCTTCACCTTCTAAATCAGATCTATCGCAGGTGTCGCGCTCGCCGTCTCTATTTTCGCTCTCTGTGTCGCGCAAGAAAGAATGAAGCAAAGAGAAGAGAAATGAAAAATGCAAGAGAAGTCTGGTGGTTTTAAAACAAAGAGTGGGTCCCACAAGTTTTTTTATTATTTTCCTCTTTCCTCTCCGTTCTTTCTTTTTTTTAATTATTATATATGTTATGATTGCATGGAGAGCGCCGAAAGCACAGCCACTTCTTCTTCTTCTTCTTCTCTCTCTCTTTTTTTTATACCTTTTCTTTTTTTAATAATAATAATAATAATTTAATATTTTTTTATTAATTAATTTTTTTAGTTTAAAATTATATCCTAAGTTAGATTTAATAATTATCTCCTACTAATTTACTTACCTCTAAATATTTTTTTTAAATTTCTATTAACCCAAATTAACTATTAAAATTTAAATTGGAATGTTATAATTCTCCCCTTCTAATAGAAATTTTGTTCCCAAAATTTGAATAATCATAGGGAACATACCTTGCTCAAACAAATGAGGATAGGAATGTTTCATCTTCTCCTCAGTTTCTCAGATTGCATTACCAGGGGCCATTCCTTTCCAGAATACATTCACAAGGCGAATGGTCTTATTTCTCAATTGCTTTTCCCTTACATCCACAATTCTTTCTGGTTCCACTCGATAGGTCATGTTCTCCCTTAGCTCAACCTCTTCAGGTTCTATTATATAAGACGGATCGGGTTGATATTTCTTTAATTGAGAGACATGAAATACATCATGAACTCCTAACAAATGAGGTGACAAGGCAATTTAATAGGCCAAAGTCCCAATTTTTTGTAGGATTTGAAAAGGACCTATGAATCTAGGAGTCAATTTCTTAGCTTTTATTGACCTCCCAATGCCTGTCATTGTTGATACTTACAAAAACACATGGTCGCCTACCTCAAAAGTCAAAGGTCTTCGTCGCCTATCTGCATAGCTCTTCTGCCGACTCTGAGTAGTCAATAAGTTTTGTCAGATCATCTCAATTTTGAGTGGTTTGGTCAATAATGTCTGGACTTATAATGCTTCTTTCACTCAACTCGGTCCAACAAAGTGGAGATCTACACTTTCTACCATACAACACCTCATATAGAGCCATATGAATACTTGAATGATAAATGTTGTTGTAGGCAAATTTCGCTAACGGTAGATGCTTGTCCCAACTACCTGTCCACTCAAGTGCACATGCGCGTAAATATCTTCAAGTGTTTGATTTGTTCTTTCAGTTTGACTATCGGTCTGTGGATGATATGCCGTACTGAACTTCAATTGAGTACCCATAGCATCATTTATTACCTTTTAAAAGTTTGAGGTGAACTTTGGATCACGATCTGAAACCATATCCTTAGGTACTCCATGTAATCACACAATCTCTTGGATATACAGTTCCGCGAATTTATCCATGGTATAACCTTCTTTGATAGGTAGAAAATGGGTTGACTTCGTCAATCTATCAACAATGACCCATATTGCATCATACCCTGCCTGTGTTTTAGGCAAACCCATAATAAAGTCTATGGAAATACTTTCCTACTTCCAGGTTGGAATTTCTAGCGGTTGTAATAAACCGCTAGGCCTCTGATGCTCTATTTTCACCCTCTGACAAGTTAGACACTTGCTCACATACTCCGTCACATCACGCTTCAGACTATGCC